AAATTGCCCTATATTGACAATCAAAACCAGCTTAGGGCAGAACCACTTATGCCCACAACCTTTTCTAAGAACAGTCAAAAGAACATTGTGGTCTACCGTATCAAATTCAGTACTCAGATCTAAAAGTAGCCTTCCAGCGCTACAGAATCCCTAGAGTCGGTGTCTTATAAAACATCATTTAAAACTTTTAGCCGCCTTAGAATAAGCTTTTCTTAAAACACGATTGAAATGTATCGAAGATGTTGTTTTCAACCAAGAAACTTTGGAGCACTAGGCTACTTTCTGTATTATTTTAGATAAAAAATGACAGGTTGGAAAATGGGTCTAAAATGTATAAAACTAAGGAATCTAGATTAGGCTTTTTAAGTTTGGGTTGTACCAAGGTGTGCTTTAAATAGTCTGGGACAACTCGTGATTCAAGGCATTAGTCGGACCAACAAGCCTATAGGCTATCAAACACTAACTTGTTTGAATAACTGCAGGGGAATAACATCTAAGGGTGAACCCGTGGGTTTTAGTTGGTTTACAACATCTTGTAAGAAAGAAAGAGAAAATAGGTGTAAACTAAAAACATTGTTTAGCCAACAGGATTGCAAAAAGCAGGGTAAATATTCTGCTTAATCTGTTATTATTAATAAAAAATCTGGCAGAAACGTTCACACATCGCTTTACCTACTCTGTAGATGAAAACAACCGGGTTTAACACAGCATTCAAAGAGTGTTACTGGATTGTGATGGTTCTTGTCTATAAGAGCCTATAGAAAGACTTTTCACAGCCTTCTGATATTTGGCAAGAGAGTTCTTTAAAATTTCAAATGAAATCTGAAGCTTTTACTTTTTTCCTTTTTCTTTCAGCCTGCTTCTGCATGCCTGTCTCAAGGCACGGATTGTGTTATTCAACCATGGTTCGGGGGTAGATTTGTGATGTTTAGTCCAGTAGAGGATCCTGGCCATAAATTAAGGTAGGGCAGATTCTGTGTGCGCTAGTTTATAATAAACATTTTGTAAGCTTCTAATCCCTCAAGCCTCAACACAAGGGCTCCTTTGGCTCCTCCCAAGACACAAACCTACATTCATAACTTCATTTAAAGGTACAATATGTAGGATTTTTGCAGTAAAATATGCAAAAACCACTAGGCCAATGTTATATATTTTGTTTAGTTAATTACTTACAATATCCCAAATGTTTCAAACTATTTGTAAATCGAGAGAAAATTGCGATTTTAACCAAGGAAACGGGGCGTGTGAGCAGGGGTGAGGAGTCGCCAGTCAATGGCGTCAATCCGCGTTACCCTCGGTTTCCGCTCATACTGCCATAGTAACCATGGCGACAGACGTGGACAACTGGGCTATGCCCACCTAGCAGGATGCTCACGCTGTTGTTGTTTTGTTCAAACATTATGGCAAGCAGACTTTGAGACAAAAGGAGAACTAAAACGAAGATCAACATCTTACGAGATGCCGTGAGCTCCACGTCCGCGACTAACTTCGACTTGACAGAGACGCGAGTGTTGCATGTAAGTTACTTTATTAGACAGGTGAGCAAATGTACATAAAACGAATCAATGTTATTTAGTTCAACATGATGAAATGTTAGAATATGATCTGTATGTTATTCTAATGTTGATCTAGCTTACTGCTAGTCTCATATAGCCAACAAACAACCTAACTAACAACACTCAACACACTCAAATGCAGTTTAGTGTGATACGCACAACCGGCGCTATGTCATAAGTCTCTGAACAGATTCACGCCCACTTTTGGGGGAAATGAACTAAACTTGCCATAGACTTCAAAACAAAATAGCGTCACAAAACAACGTCCGTACACAGCCGAAAGGCGTGAATAACTTAAGAAATCATTAAGATTAAACATGTCAAGTAATTATATGTCCACCCTGTCTGCCATAGAGCGTAAAAGATACATACACAAACTTAATTTGGTCAATTTAAAAACATGTCCCTTCATTCTCCCAGCGTCAAATTGGTGTAACAACCCCACCCAGTAGCCAGAGGTGTCTTTCTTTTACTGTCTATGGTCTTACCCTGACATTTACTCGTATCGTATACTTCATCGAGTCACCATGGTAAGCCAGTGAATGATTTTCGTTTTTTAAAGTAAACGTCTTTAAATGTATATATTTTGTCTTATAATATACATTATAATATATATAACCTCACTGGGTGGGGATGTTACACCAATTTGACGCTGGGAGAATAAACGGACATGTTTTTAAATTGACCAAATTAAGTTTGTGTATGTATCTTTTACGCTCTATGGCAGGCAGGGTGGACATATAATTACTTGACATGTTTTATATAAGTGATTTCTTAAGTTATTTACTCCTGTCGGCTGTGTACGGACGTTGGTTTTTGTCGTTATTTTGTATTGAAGTCTATGGTCTAGTTTGTTTTCCCCCAAAAAGGGGCGGGGACGAAATTGACAGTTAAGTTCCCGGATGTGCCGTGTAACTGTTAGAGCAAGTGAAACAGCGCTGCGTTACCTCAAGTTTCATTCGTCTAATAAACGGACCCGTGTGAGTATTAATTCAGCACTTGCGTGTAGTTCGGTACTTCGGTATGAAATGTCCTTATTTCTTTATATCCGAGGGACTCGCGTGTGGCGCTGGTATTCGTCTCTCATTTGCAATCGCGCCCTGCTTCATACCACAGTCATGTTAAAAACATCACTGTATTCACTCATCCATAATCAGCTTGACGACAAGATCCATAATTTCGCTTAATGCTTTGCGTCATTATACGCCTTTGTTATTGTAAGAGGTTAGCGAGTAGCGACCCCTGGTGGCAAAAAAATCCTACATATTGTACCTTTAAAATATCTGAGATAAATTCACAATTAGCAACTGGTCAAAAAATTACAGCCTAACAGGCTGGCGGTCTAATTATGATTGACATTTAGTAGCCTACCAGTAGGCCACACGACAAACAGCAGAGAATGTCATAGAAATGCCTTAATGTATTTATTGCGTCCGAATGTTGTTTTAGAATGTTGCAAATTAGGAATTCGCCTTTGGCTAAGCCACACCCTAGAATGTAGATTGACCAATCACAGCGCAGCCAAGAACGAGCTCCCACAGTGGTCCGACACTTTTTCACAGCGCTCCATTGACTTTAACACAGGCGTCTCATATTTTTGGTCTCGGCAGGCTATTACCGTCGTAGTTTTATCAAAAATATGGTTAACGTTGTGCCTGGGGCATTTGTAACACAGATGCGTGTTTCCCAGAGAGGTTGGAGGGGGGTGTCCGTTTTTTTCCCTTCCCAAACCGAAGTCAAATCCTGACAAGTGTCGTCTAGCACACGCTGCTAATAAATAAATTACAACGTTATACTCGCGTAGTCCGTTTGCTTTGTAATAACGATTATAGAAGTGAATAGAGACCTACCCAGCTTTGCATGAACAGTGTTGCTCCTTGATATTGTTAGTCCCAGCCTCCGTCTCGATTAGTAGGATATGCGGTGGTTCATTTTTTTACTGTGACCGGTATGCTTTTGCCTCTATTTGGATGCCTTGTTGTTCCTTGCGTTTCACCTGTATGTCGTGAATATAGCCTTCGAACGTATATTGCAGCCCCTTTTGCCTACTTCTATCGGACACTTTATTTGCTGCTTTATAAAAGTTTGATAAAATTTCAGCAGGAAGAGCTGTCACAGCATAAGCCATGTTGATACCAGAGCCCAGATGAAGTTTGTTTGTCGGACGTAGCAACAGTAACTAAGGGGGGCGGGGCTTAGCCAAAGGCGAATTACGGTGAGGAAAACAGTCTATTCTTTGTCAGAACAAACATAAAACAAACACAACAGAACTACTGTATACAAGCTATTCACATGAGCATGTTTAAACTACTTTAATTAATTTGACACGCTACTCCACATTAGAAGATTTGCCAACTATAGTAACTGACCTGATGCAGATAGCTGAAGCGTCTTGTTCTGGAGCGAGGTTTGTGATCACATGAAAATACGAGAAACCGGCTGCCCCGCTTCATATCATAAGCCTATGCCTGCCACATATAATCCATGCGCTATGTTTTAATATATCCTGCTCACTTTACGACTTAAAATAGTCTATAAAATCCGAATTCTGAACACATTTATAATTTATTATTAATTCAATGGATATTGGAATTAATTTTACTCTTCATTTATTATGATTGTCTGCTGTTAAGAAATAAAATTAGACTTAATCATCTGACTGGATCTCCTCCCTGCATCATTTTCAATGCACATGTGTTCCGCAGAAAAAAAGAAAGTCGCAAGGGTTTAGAACAACATGAGGTTGAGTATAATAGCAATGTCATTTTTGGGTGAACTGTCCGTCACACTGACGCAAGCACTTTCCTGCCTGTACTGACTGGCGCCATTTTGTTCCCTTGTGAAGTCGTAAAGGAATAACTCCAGTCCGGGAACGTCGACCACTCTACATGCACCAAACCGATCGTACTTAATTCCAGTCGGTATAAACTGGTAATTGTGAACGCTTTATTTGTGATTGAACGTTTTATTTATTGATTCATTTACTTTAGTTAAGTGTAGTAGTCGTTCTAAAGTTAACAACATGTTACCTAAAGTTAGCAACATGCTATTCGAAAGCCAATAGAATACTGTGTTATTTTCACGCAACGTTACACAGCTCTTAACACAGGGCGTAAAATATACAAATTACTTGTTGTTTACACGTTGTTTGTATCGGTGTTTCTCATCTGACAGCCTAGTAAAAGGAGTTAGGCCAAACACAGGGCACCAAGGCCTAACACGACGAATGATAGAACTATTTTTTGAGCAATGGATTTAAATCTGAATTTATAGTTAACGTTACCACATTTTAATCGAACGATTGAAAAACTCTGTTCATGGAAACGAACGCGCAATTTCTGATGTTCTTTCGTTTCATTTATTTATGATCACGTATATTAGGTAGGCCTACTATTTGTTTAAATATTTATCTGTAAAAAATGTGGCTTAAATATGTAACTTTAACGTTATTCACAAACGCTGATTTTGTAAGACGCACTCTGAATTTACAGGTGCGGACACAAAATCGGCGAAATATGAATTCGTATAATACCAATTTTAAAACGTGACAAGTGTGGTTTAACGTGGTCAAAAAAAGAAGGCAAGAGCCAAAATGTGGAACTTAGATTCTCAAGACAATTTCGTATTTCAAATTGTTTGTATGCATTATCACAGTTTATTGTGTCCAATTACATGTTCTATGAATCCAAAAACATGTCTCCCATGAAAATATTTTCAATGTAATATATATTGTGTTCCTGTCCTTATTCAAATAACCAATTATTCAGCACATGGGGAGTGTTTTTGTCTTCTTTTTGAAATGTAGGTTATGCAAGACCTTGTCCTTCATTCCAGAGGACAACTGGATTTGGATAATGAATTGGCTTCCCTGAAGATTGCTGCTGCTTCTTCTTTTTTTTTCTCACCATAGGTTTTTGTTTTTCCCCTATTGGGTATTTTTTAAATAAAAAAAAAGTTCCAGTCTACCCCCTTTAAATTTTCCACCTGGCTTCAGGAGACGAAGATATCCCTCCTTTTTTTTCCTTTCCAAGATATCCAGTCCCATCTTTGCCCTCGGCTATTCTTTTTGACAACATCTAGCTTGACGATTTTTTTTTAAATTCCCCCAAACCCCTTCACCACTCAATTATCAACAATATTGGAGAGAGAGAAAAAAAAACACGAAACGGACATTTTCCTCCATCTGCCAATTTTTAACAGCAGTCTGATGGGAACAGGTCTCTAAGAGGCAAAAGTTGCCCCCTCTTCCCCTGTTCAGTCTTTACTCATCAGTCAAGTATTCCTTCAGGATCAACACAGTGCGGAGCGACCCTTCAAGAAGCGCTTGAGATCACCAGGGAACGTCTCAGCCACTGCAGGTGAATGAAGTTCTTGCAACGCTTTCTCTCATCAGTATTTAAATATTGGCCTGGCCACCATTTTGAGTCATTCAGGACAGAATGTGAAAGTGAAAAATGTGAAAGGATCAACAGGAGCATGAATAGGCTTGTAACACTCTAAATAGGGAGATTCACGTGGACCCTGTCGCAGACATCCGGAACGAGATTCCAGCATCAGTGAAGAGCTCCTGACCTGGAAGAGTACAAACTTGTGCCAGAATGACCATGCAAGGAGATGACTGCTACTTCTTCTACTATTCCACCTGTACTAAGGTAAAATGAAGTGTAGAGACACTCACCTGACACTGTTTTCAACAACAACAAAAAAAACACTTTATATGTGTTTTGGCCATTCATTCGAAGGCCAAAAAGATTTTGGCAGCCTGAAAATGCAAGCTTTTGAAATCGTGTTTCAAAGTGCAAGTTTTTGAGAAAATATATATCTTTATCGTCTCCTACAAAAATGCAAATTTGTGAAAACGGTTTCGTCATGCGCATGCATGTGTTCAGTCCATTAACACGGTGTTTACAAAGTGACTTCGCCAACTACTGGTCTGGCATCCATAATGCAGCGTTTTTACATCGTTGTTGTGTAAACACACTCTTAATTGGAAACTTTGTCACATGCTAGCAAATGCTCAGAAATGTTCCTGTTGTTCAAAGTAGATTTTTTTTCTCATGTTCAGATTTTGATAATGTAGGTCATTATAACAACTTATTTCACGGCTCTGTGGAATACTTGATTCTGATTAGTGAATAGCGCCATTCAGCAGTATGTTATTCCTCGATAACATCCACTGAAAACCGATAACAGGCTCATCCAGGTTACTGAAGTCAGCAGCGCTATACGCTTGCTAGGAACGTTTCTTCTTCGCGGAAGTTTTGCTTTTGGTGAGCTAATAAAATATTAAAACTCAGTCGAATCAATATTTTGTGTACAGTTATTTAATTATGCCATTCAGTATCATGGCCTCGCTCTCTCTTGTTTCATACAATCATAGGATAATCATAGGATTATAGGATAACAAACCGGTACGATTTTAAAAGTTTCATCTCAAATCAATGTCTCTTATGCCCATAATTAATGTGGCGAAATGCTGTGTAATAAGTGGTATGACTGTACCGTATCCCTTAAATGTCCGTCTAGTTTGAACTTTCTGCGCTAGCAACTGCTCCTTCCACGGAAGCTTTGCATTTAAAGAGCTAATAAAATATTTAGACTCCGGTCAATATGTCTAATTATTTACAAGTAGCTGTGTAATAAGGAGGATAATGTAGATTATCCCTTACTTAAACAAAATTGTTTTTATAACAAATTTTAATTTGTGTATTGTATTTAATGTGTTAATGTTTTTGTACAGCTCCCTGGCATGCTTTTACAGTTTTTTTAATGTGATCTATAAATAAATGATTGATTGAAAAAAATTAAGTGAATTTGAAATCAATCTTCAAAAGTAAAATGTATACTGTATATTAAATTAACAATTAATTGTAATATATATAAATAAGTAAAATATTAAAATATGAATTATAAAAAATGTAATTTTGTCCTGCAATTTGCCTTTGTAGGGTGACAGCTGTCCTTTTCGACACTGCGAAGCCGCCATGGGTAGCGAGACTGTCTGCAACCTGTGGCAGGAGCAAAGGTGCTTCCGTAACATCTGCAAGTTTCGACATATGGAAATAAAGGTTTGTGACCATTTCCATACTCCCTTTATGTTGAGATCCTTTCATTGTTTCTTTAATGAGACCTTAACAATTATCCACCCTGTTACTTCCTTTATAGAAAAACCGTAAAGTAATCGCATGCTATTGGGAGAACCAGCCAGCTGGCTGCCAGAAACCTCACTGTGCTTTTCATCATGAGAAGCCACGCATCATTGATGGGAATTATTTTGCCCCAGACAAAGGTATTTGGCAGTCTGCAGTTTTTTTAATAATCATTCATAAAAAATCGAAAGTTCAAATAAATAAATTGGGCTTTTTATCATTGTTTTACAGGTCAAGCAAAGGAGAAAGAAGAGACCCCACACGAGGACCAAGTCAACCAAGTCCCTGCGCCCACTGCAAACCCTACTAACCCACAGCTTAGAGGGGTCATTAGAACTGAGACCCAGGAGAACGTCCCCAGCCCTACCCATCCACCTGTGGTCATCAACCCCGTGGATGATGATGATGAGGATGGTAAGCTCACGATCCTGTGACGTGTCATTTTGAAGAAGTACTTCTGAATTCAAAATAATAAATATAATTGAAATGCAACATGTAAAAGTAAAATAACTCACAAAATCTTTCTTTGAAGTTTACCTAAGATTGGCTTTCTTCTCACCGATCTCTATATAGATTGCAGATAGGCCTATATTATATGATATCTATATTATAGATCAGTATTTCCTTGGTGTTTCAAAATCGACACTGCGACACGACTCGTGTATCATGTGGAATTTCTAGTTTCCCCACTTGTAAACGTGACAAAAAAGCATAAAACATTCTAAACATGAATAACACACAACGCGTCTGTGAGAATTGAGATATGCTGTGATCTTGTTGCTCATCTGACCGTCCCAGCATATAAGTAGTGGCTAATGCACCAGGGCTCGACATTAACTCTTGTCCGGGACAAGTGGATTTTTTGAAGGGACAAGTGAAAAAGAATTTTACTTGCCCGACCGGACAAGTAGCCTGATTAAAACGTCATTGACAAAAAAAAAAACTAGGAAATCTCTAAAAACGAGAGAATAATTTGATTTTATTACATTTATTGTAAGTTGCAATCGATAGTGGATAATAAATGTATTACTGGCGTAACATGCAGTGTTGGGGAAGCTACTCTGAAACTGTTGTTTGACAAGCTACAAGCTACTCGCAAGTTAAAGTAGTTAAACTACAGTCAAGCTACACTTTTGGAAAAGTAGTTAGCTACATTACAAGTTACTATCAAAAAGTAGCTAGCTACATTGAAACTACTTTTGCTTTTTTTTTAACAACGTATATTATAAATAACTGGATAAGTGCCTGAGCAATGTTTTAAGTCAAATATTTAAAACAATTCGCTCTGAAACCAGTCACAACAAATCTATACAGCAATTTAATTAGATCAAAGCCTTTGTCGTGCGATAAACAAACTAAGATTACATTTTTTGTTCAACTGACAAATACGACGGCGCAAACGATAGTGGTCTTTTATGTTCATTACCAAACTGGCGGACAGATCATGGCGGGTCATGGTAATTAAATAGAAAATTTGATGTAACATAGAGAGCAATAAAGCAGGAATACATTTAAAATGGCCATTACTGTATGTGCATCCTTAAATTTGTGCTTGAGGTCTTCGACGTAGACAGCGTTTTAAACCTTGGTTTGCAAAGATTGCATACAAAAGTGTAACCTTTACTTGTCGTTTCTTTGAGAGACATGAACTTGGACAAATAAGGCCATGGGTAATTAACGTTAGTTGTTTCTCCATCCTCCAAATCTGCCGCCACGTCTTGCTCCATCATGGGCTGTGTCAACCCACTTCTGTACGTCAGTGAACCGTTAGCCGCAGGATGCGTGATTAAACAACAGGTGGCGGTAATGGCAAAAAATTCATTTGTAATCTAACAAGAAGAAGAATATCCTTGCATCGCGCTGATTCACGCAGGCTCGACAAAACGCAATGTAGCTTTTGCTCGCGCTACACCGCTACTTGCTGCAAAAAGTAGTTAGCTACTGGAAAAGCTACACTGTTTAAAAAGCAACTGAGCTACTGCCAAGCTACTGAAAAATGTAGTTAAGTTAGTAGCGTTGCTACTTGTAGTTAACTACTCCCCAACACTGGTAACATGGTTGCGCTGTTGAGGCTCGAGGAGAAATGGAAACAAATGAGCGCAGCACACAAAGAAACGCAGTTAACAACATACTGCCGATATAAATTCTAAGTGTGTAGTTTTATATTTTTAACATATGATACAGTTTAAAGTCCCCATGAATTCAAAATTGACCATACTTTGTTTGCCTAAATTGATCGTTTTGTGGTGAACAATTCATCCATGCAAGTCAATCCACACAAAAAAATTTTTGGGCTTCGTAATCTTTAATCAAAATCTGAAATTTCCCCTCCCCTCTGCGTTGGAGGACCTTGCCTGATGACGTAGGTTTCACGGTTTGGGCGTCTTCTTAACATCCGTAATCACGCCCCTCCAACTGACAGTAGACAGGCTGAATGAAAACACCTACTTTTCTAGATCCAATCAGGTGCTAGTTGGGGAAAAAGCCACGCCCACCATTTTGCCTCATTTAGTATTCCGTTTCTCTCGGAAATACGTCACAACACTGGAGAAAAGTCGTTTGCAACTTCCGATTCACGGGGACTTTAAGCAACCTCACATGACGAGTGCTGTTTTCCTTAATACCTTCACGATTGAAAATGTGACATTGATTTCATACAACAGGTCAATAAACAGTTAAAAAATGAAGTCACTTACATTTTAGACACGATATTGACTGTTTTTGTTCTGTTTCAGCAGCGCAAATAGTTACAAACAAAGATCACAGCAGAACCATAGCGCATCTTACAGCAACACTTAACCTTGTTTTCATTACTGAATGAATCAGTCGTTTGAATGTATGACTCAATGACTCACTCATTAAGACGGTCGCCTGCCGCCACCTACTGGCGGTTTAGTGTTATGTTTAAAAGTATCATTCTTTCCAACGTTTCTTATTTGCATATTCAAAAATATTTAAAACAATCTCATAACATTATTTAATGCAGTTGTAATATTTCAGTGTAAATGATTTTGAGCCCTACCTAGGGTAACAGCCCTGTAGTGTTTTATTATTCTAATTGAATTAATTGATCAAATTTAGGAATTTAAAATGAAAGATGAAGCATACATTTAATAAGATTAGGGGGGGGAAATGCCATTTAAAGGTGAAATCCAAACACCAGTCGACTGAGGAAAGACAGCAGTCCATCACTGCATCACGACTGCAGGTAAAGCGCAGCTGTATACCCCGAGTGATCCGAGATGATAACTTATCTTATAACTTAATGATTTTGAGACATATGCTTCCTTTAAATTTCATTGAGGGAGACAGGTTTAAGAACAGAAAACACAAAGTGCTGTTAGAAACTTTGCTTAGAACACCGTTATCTTTGTCTCTGCAACGTCTGTCAGCGCAGCATGTTTTCTCACTCGATGATGTGGATATTATTGGTTTCTCAACATGAACGTGAACCAATATAAACACGATAACCATATTCTGACTCGACCTGTACGATAACTGGCGTAGTCTGCTTTATTAGCGTTTTTTTTCTCCATTAGCCTGCTTGAGCTTAAATGCTTTTGTTCTTTATATTTTACTCATATTGTTTAATGTTTTCAACTAAAAGAAAACCTTAAGATATATTTTAAACTTGTTGTGTATATTGCCTAATCATAAGCTTGTTCAGAAATGGTGACAAAAACGTAAAAAAAAAACCTTAAACGTAAAAAATAAAGTCTTTTTCGTTATACGTCATTTAAATAAACAAATATTCGAATATTAGATTTTTATGAGGCCGAATTATCGCATGCACGCAATTCTTAAAATGCCCACAAGATGGTGCCATTTATTGGTGAATCAAATATACCCGGTTATGGAAAATGCTTAAATATTGTGAAAAATATCGGTAACAATTATTAATCGGTCGATCTCTCTAATGTATTGTTCTCTTTTAAAATATTTTATTTTAAAACTATCATGTTTTTATGTGTATGATGTGTGAATATTCTCAAACTCTCTGACAGTGCGATCTCTTTATGGGTTATGTGATTGTCTAAAAAAAAAATTCTAAAATATGAAAAAAAATTTGTATTAAAGTAAAAATTATTGATAAACACGTCTTTCGAATGGAATAATAAATACTTCGGGAGTCTTGTTTGTCATTTATTTTTATTAAAAAAAGCACAAGAACTTAAATTAAAAAAAATTAATAGCAACACCACATGAATCTGAATCACGCGATATTCACCTTTGAACTCATAGGTGTATGATTCACTACGAGAAGAGAGATCTGTCCATCTTGCCTGCACTTTTTCACTCCTCCCCTCACTTTAGCTTACTTTTGTCTAAATTTCAGGCGAGCGAATCTCAAATTAGCCTATTCAGAACTCATAATTATGATATTTCCCACTCACATTAGTTAATTAATCTTTGATTAGCTGGTTCAGGTGTGTTTAATTAGGGTCGGGCTATGGTCTGCAGGTGGCCCTTCAAGAATGCAATGTGTCATCCCTGATCTTGATATATTGCTCATTGTTTGCAGATCAATTCTCAGAGGAAGGAGATGAATCTCTCGGAGGCTCACCCCGGAAACTGATCACATATAAAGGTGAAGACGGTTTCCATGTTTTGTTAATATTTTCTATTATGTATTGAGCGCTTTATTTCATTATTGGTCTGTCTTGCAGATGATTCGCTGAACTTTGGTATCCAGACACTGGAGGAGATCAGATTGAGGAAAGCACTCATGGCCAACCTGAAGAAAGCTGGTAAATAAACCCTCACCTCTATTGCTTTCCTGTGATCTGTTGTTTAACATCTAATCTTAATTTTCACTTTTTGTTTGTTTGCAGGGCAGTCCACCATGCAGAGCTCTGCCCAAAACAATGGAACTGCTATTGAAAAGGAAAACATTCAGTCTCTTTCACGTCTGGAAGTAAACAATGCCAAGAATGGTAAGCCTTCTAAGTATTGGAACTTTGGTTTTCAGAGCATCAAACCATTTGTTCATATTAAAGCCCATTTAAAATCTGTTGCAGATTCGTTTGTTAATGAAACTGGAAAAAGAAAAATTTCAGACAGACTTGGGAAAAGAATTTTGAAAAGAGGTGCGTTTATGAAAACGGTTTGCTCGATATTGTAATACATTTATGTCCCTTTTTACATACTTCGGCCAAAAACTGACAGATGTTATCATTTAATTGAAGATGGTCCTGTGGAGGAAGAGCTACCTTTGAAACGAAGCCTTGCTGAACGACTCGGTGCAACTGTTGAATCCTCCACAGACGTTTTACCACAGAAAGGTACGAGGCTTGTTTTTTGTCCCAGCTGTGGCTGTGGAGGCATTTTGTATCCCTTTCACAATTTACGTAAATCCCACCCTCGGACATAAATCCCTTAATCAACAAATACATATTAGAGAAATGCCAAGCAGAATGGGTAGAATGTCAAAATAGCAAATTATTTGTTATAAAAAGATGTCTACCCTTTTAAATCAAGACATGACTAAGTTGTATTTACAAGGTGTCTGATAGGCCATACTAGACTGACTCATGGGCATTTATTGAAGGGTGAAGGACAAAAATGTCAATACTTTAGTACCAACTTGTCTGTAAAACATTATTTTGGACTAGGGGTGTAACGGTACACAAAAATCACGGTTCGGTACGTACCTCGGTTTTAAAGTCACGGTTCGGTACGTTTTCGATACAGCAAAAAGTAAGAAATGCCAGAGAAATTTCCTATTTGTTAAAAGAAAAAATATTTTTTAAAGAAGTGTGTTTTCCTACATCTTGAAACTTTCAGGTTTATAAATGGGTGTCATCTTTGAAGGATGAACAAATAATGTTTTGGTCATCACATTAAAAATAACATTTAAATATATGAAGAGTTCAGATGCAAAAGCCATTTGAAATTTTCTTCTTGAATGATCAAGTTTGAATGTGTACCGAACCGGAGGCCTCGAACCGAAACGGTTCAATACGAATACATGTACCGTTACACCCCTATTTTGGACTGCCCAATCTTTATGCCCAATGTTATGAAAATAACAGCGCTTTTTATCAGGACAAACTTTAAGGACTTAAGAATCCAGCACAAGTACATTTAAATAATCTTTTATAGAATTGTACTCATTTTGTACATGCACTTATTTTTTATTTTTTGTCTAAGTTTGTTTTCATTGTTATACTTCTATGACATTGTTAAATGTTTAATATGTATCTGCCATGTAATAGCCAGTGATGCTGATATAAAAATAAACTCAAGTACTACTACCACTTCACAATTTACGTTACTAACTCTTTTCAGCTCAGAAACCAGTGCGAGAAAGACTTGGATTGACCTCCGACCTGCCCAGCTCCAACAGCGAGCCAAAACCATCCGGAGACATCCGTATAAAAACCCTTGAGGAGATTCGGCAAGAGAAGGCAGCCAAAAGCCTCAAATCGAGTAAAGTTGTGCGTGTTGTGAAAGAAGTGCCGAAGGAGGAGCCGAACCCTTCCAAGAAAAGTGTCAAACCTGCTGGTGGACCACAAGTTAAGACTTTCTCTGAAATCCTTCACGAAAAGAAAAAAATGCAGGAGAAAAAAGTCCAGGAAATGAACACGACTGCCAAAAGTCCAGAGGGGAATGAAGGACTTTGCTCTGCAGAAGCTGCAGTCAAGGCCCCTGTGCCAGCTGCGGAGGTACGAGTTAAAACGCTGGAGGAAATACGCAGGGAAAAGGCTGCAAGGATGCAAGCACAACTTCAAGAGTGCACAGACGACAAGACCCCAACCTCTAGTGAAGCAGAGTCAAGTGGACCTCCAAAAAGGCGCATTCTGCGTGTTAATAAAGCCACTAGTAAGTCAGACACATTCATGTAGTTTGTTTCAAGGAAATTGTTTAAAATTGTGGAAAACAGCCAAGGAAGTGTTCACATTTTTTCATTTGTAATTTTTTTTTTTTAGCTGCTGTCAGCACTGTAGGTCAAACAAAACCAGACACATCTGATAAGAAACGGGAACCCGCTACAGAGGTAAGACCGTTCCAAGACAACAAGCCTAAGAGCATATTGTTTCCTGATTTTATATAATTTCCTCTGTTTAACTTGCAGACAAATGGAAAAGGCGAACCCTCCAGTGTGCCTGTTAAAGTGAAGACGTTTGAGGAGATCATGCGTGAGAAGAGACTCCGCAAGCTGCAGGAGGAGCAAGTCACCTCCACCAACCAGAAAGACGCATCACCTGCTGCCTCTCCGCCAGCATCAGAATCCTCCGCCCAGCCTCAAACCACAGTGAGACCGAGGATCGCCCTCAAAGCCAAGCCCTCTCCGCTCCCTGCTGCTGTAGTGCCTCAGAAAAGCTCCCCCGAGCGGTCTGGAGATAGTACTCCATCGTCAAACACACCAAAGCCCTCCACCTCTCCGGTCATTCCTGTCCAGCTAACTGAGGGAACTATGCAAATTGTGGAGAAAAAGGGTAGGAGTTATATTCATGATCTCTTTATTTGATCATGTAACTCAATTTCCATTTTTAAAGTACTTCACTGGCTGGATTGTTTTTTACGTACAATATTACTCCTACAAAAATAGGACAAATAATAGAGATCATGTGTTAAATATGAGAAGCCGGTAATGTTTACAACAGTACTAATATAAACTAAAATAAGTGTGTGTATTTATTTATTTATTTAGAAATGGAATGGAATTGTAACTCCCTTTTCCAAATGGCCTATTCACTTTGCTGCATTTGTCTGCATTTCAGTGAAGCCCAAGGTGAACGTGAAGCCATCAGTAATGAAGCCGGCCCAGAGGAGGAAAGCTGCAAAAGTGAACTCTGCTGTTGCTGAAGTGAAACCTCTTAACACTGCCTGTCAATCACCTTCCTCCCTGGTTATTCCCAACAAGCGCCTTAAGGTGAGGTTTATTTACTTACTTGAGCAATTCTTTTGTCACTGATGGTTAAAAATAATAGTTTAAGCTTTTTTTTTTGTACTCTTTCAGGTGGCTTCACCAACCTCTCTGACAGATGTTCGGTTCGACACTCAGCAGGTGCCCTGCTCTAACACAGAGGATATTCAAATGGTTCCTATGAGCTGCCTTGAGCCTGCCAGTACTACATCAGCTGAGACCGTTGCAGTCCCTCAAAGGTATGGGAAATTATCTCTTTTCAGCTGATGGAAGACTACCATTTTTAATTGATTTATATTAAATCGTCAAGCAGAAACGAATTAACACACTTTTTTTTTTTGCTTTTTTTTTCTCTGTAGCCCTGTGATCAGAACACCCAGTGTGCAGCGCAATCGGCGGTCCAGCACCACTTCTGGTCGAACTGCTGCTGTTACCAGTTCATCGATGGATGACTTTGAAGACCTGTTAGATGAATTTACTGATGATCGGCTTGAGGATGACTTGGAATTGGATTCGGGCAAGGGAGAGGATGACCTTCTTTTAGAACTCTCAGAGATGATTGACAGCTAGAAATGAGCGATGTCACCCCTTTACTTAACACTGCCACTATGAATATAAAAGGACTGAGACATAATTCAACCCACAACATTTTAAAATAAGATTTATTTTCAAACTCTGATAGATCTGTTTTATTGCTCCTTTTAGATTTTTCTTGTCAATGTAAATATTTCTTCATCATCAAATAGTGCTTTAGAGTTCTTTTCTTTAGTTGACTTCTTAAAGCTGTCAAAAATGGGGAAAAAACGTAGTTGTTGCAGGTATGAGCAAGCAATCATAAGACAGCCTCAGGTATAATGATTGTGTTGGAGGTCATGTTAGAGCACTAGTCATCATGCATTATAGGCAGGAAGTTTTCAGTTGTGTACTGTGTATGCCGGAATTATTATTTTTTATTTTTTTGTATTGGAGAGGCACAGCAAGACAACATATTTCTCAGTGTTCATTTTGAGTCGCATGCATTAATCTGAGTTATTAAATGTTCTTTGGCTGTCATTATCGACATTATTTTAACAGGTCATCTCACTAACCTTTGATCTGCTTTAGGAAAAACATTTTATGTTTTTGTTTATCCCCCCCCCCCCCCCCCCCCTTTTCATTTGGGTGGAAGCAATTCTATTATAAATGTTATGCTACATGAAATTCCCTTGGGAACCATCTACACCTTTTCACCTTGTGAAATGATTATCAAATTATTTTAGCAGTTACTCAGACTTCTGAATGCATGACAAAGCTGTGTTCTCAGGGAAAATCCTTAAGCTTTGTTGACCTGTTTTTTTTTTTTTTTTTTTTTAAATGTCTTGACCATGTCTTCTCTTCTTAGTTGTATTCACCTTAGTTTATTAACATCATGTATTAAGGGGCTGGGATGAGAAAATAATGTTATCTGTTCTGCAGTATCACCTAAGTTGCACCTCTTCAAAAACATTGTAAATAAAATGTCTATGAAAACCTTATTAGTGTTTAAGTTTTGAACAGCATTTATCAAGCATTGTTATGCATTGGTAACTTTAGTATTTTTTTTAAATACATACTTTTTGGGAATGTGCTATTTTTACGTTTGAGTGTTTTGGATGCTGCATTTGTTTTTACTGCCCCCCAATGTAAAAGCTTAACATCCTATCTAAATTTGTTGTGAGAGGTAATATCTGGTTTTGGAGGTGCGAGTTAAAAAATAACCTCAAATTCTCTATTGAGCAGCATTTACATCTCAGGATGTTTTCTTAGACATTTGTGCAGTAACAATATTTTAAATGCATTCATTCTAAAATAATGTAATTTAACCCCACATTATTGTATCAGAAAACTAGCATATATCCTAAATATGAATTTTTTTCAATAGGTTTTACATTCACAAAATGAAAATGCCTTTGTAAGCTTTTACACATTACATCAATACTTGCATGGGAATTTGGAAAAAAAAAAAGTTTAACCATAGTCAGCTAAATAAAAGTCAAAAAGCTGTCAAATTAATAATACACTTAGTGATGTTTTATCATTGGAAGCCTCTGTATCTTACAGTGGACTTGGTAAATATGAGCAAAACTGACTGAAAATTTGGTTTTACAATTTCTCCTAGTCTTTCATTCAAAATATTCACAAAAATCTAATCTTTGGTTAAAGTCAGTAGTTTTAAAAGAAAAATAGGCTAATACTTTTTTTCTGAAATATTTATTCCTCAATTATTGACACCCTTTCATTTAATATTTTGTACAGCCTCCCTTTGCCAAGAGAACAGCTCTCGATCTTCTCATATAATGTATAAGGTTGAAAAACAGGGCAAGAGATCTGAGGCCATTTCTCCATACTGAGTCTCAGATCCTTCAGATTCAGAGGTCCTTGTGGACTCTTATTTCAGCTCATTACACAGGGTTTTTATTTATTAATTTTTTTATGGGATTTGGATCAGGGGACTGATATGTCCATGGGGCAAAACCTTCATTCTGTGGTCAGTAAACTGTTCAGTTGTTTATATTGAGATGTGCTTTGGATCAATGTCAAGCTGGAAGATCCAACCATGGCCCAGTTTAAGTTTCCTGACAGGGTCAGTCAGGTTATGATTTAATATCTGCTGGTCCTTGATGGAGTTTATGATACTGTGTATCCTAACAAGTTGTCCAGGGTCTTTGGAAGAAAATTAGCAATGCATTAAAGATTCACCTTCACAGTGGGGAAGTGCTTTTCTACATGTCTATGTTTCTGTCTAGACAAACCCACATCTAGTGATTTTCTAAAAAGCTTTACTTTAGTCTCACCTGAGCCTAAAACCCAGCCCCACAAAATGTTTGCTAATTGTTTGTTATTTTTGCTAATATTCAAATGTGCCGATATTTGTGGAGCTGGGGCCCACTGTAGCCTATGTATTTCCTCATTATTATTGTGAGAAAAAGGGAAACGATATTAAACTCCAAGCCAGCAGGTGGCGGTAAACATGTAGCACTTTTGTCACTATGACATCCTTACCCCCCCCCCAAAAAACACAGGAAATAGACAAGTAACTGCGTATTACTCTTGCTGCGACCGAAACCTGCAACACAAAACCCTCGTCCTCTGCTGTTGTTATTCTTCCACACAAATAGACATCCATAACCCGAGGATTAAGGCTTTTATAAGCCTGGGAATTCTCCTCAAGTTCTGATTCAATAGCTGGGATGCATAATTTCCCTCTAAATTTTAGCTTGTTTAATGGCAGGTATTGGAAATTTCACAGTAAAAAGGAAGAGATATTTATTAGATATAGAAGTCCATTAAGCAACAGGCGAAGATTATTTACGCGGTCGTAAGAATCTGCAAGGGAGGCTTGTTTTTTTGTTGTTGTTTTTTTTTACATTTGAAGGTAAATAGAGCGCTGTTTTTTTTTTTTTCGAAATTGAGAGATTTTTATATGTGCTTCTGTAGGGGACATCGAAATTGAGATTATTCGGTTTTAACCCAGTATTGGCTAGTTGCTTCTTATTAATACATTTCGGGTTGTACCAATATTCTCCAAACTAACGTGCTAATCATTGTTTAAGTTTGGTGTAACGGCAGAATAACTGGTCGATGGTTGTTTATCAAAGGACATCTAGTGTTAGTAAAGAGTTGTTGCAGTTCTGTCAAAATATATATATAGTTGAATAAACCATGAAGCTCCTGGAAAACTCAAGTTTTGAGGCCATGAACAGTCTGCTCACTATTGAAACGGGAGACTGTAAGATAATTGGACGGTAAGTGCAATACTCACTTTTATAAGTTACAACTAAGAAAAGTGACATCCTTTTGAAAAACATCTGCAACACTGTCAGACAAAATCTGAACACTGTCAGATCACAAAGAGGAACTGAGTATAGAGCATGTTAACTCTGTTCTGGTACACAAGAGACGTCTTTGATGTGCTTGTTTACATCTAGAATACGTATTGTTTAGAGTGTTTGCTCGTCTGCAATACGTCTATAGGACGTTTCCTGTCAGATGTCAAATAGACGTATAGAAAATGTCTTTAAGATGTTTATTATTTAGAATGTAGGCCTATGTAGAACTGACATCTTAAAGACCTTTATCAGATGTTAGTAAACAGCAGATGCTTTCCAGATGAAGTGATCTTTAACAGACATCTGGCAGGCGTACATGTGCTATCTGTTATTTGCAGTATTTTATGATTATTTTTGTGGGTGTAACTCAAGTCACTCTTTGTCACTGTTGTGATGTGTTTCTAGTATTGAGAGCTACTCCTGTAAGATGGCTGGTGACGACAAGCAGATGTTTAAGCAGTTTTGTCAGGAGGGGCAGCCGCACGTGCTGGAGGCTCTGTCTCCTCCGCAGAGCTCCGGAATCAGCCCCAACAAGTAAGTCCAAGTCTTTTCCAGAGGTATCGATAAGCATTTCACAGTCATCAACCCCCTCAGTTACACACTGTACAAATATCTTCCAGAAGGTCATTGCGTGTTGATTGAAATATGTTGTGCTTTCAGATTGAGTCAGAGTTTGGAAGATGGGGAGGGTCCTCTCTCGGATAAGTGCAGCAGAAAGACTCTCTTTTACTTGATCGCCACTCTCAATGAATCCTTCCGGCCAGACTATGACTTCAGTCGCACCAAAGGCCATGATTTCAGCAAGGAGCCCAGTGTTAATTGGGTAATTTTGACATGATCTAAAATGTAATTTAAAACTGACTATTAATAATAATAGTAAAACCTGCGACCCTACAAAGATGGGGCTGATATATATATATATATATATATATATATATATATCCATCCAGCCAAAAAAAGTCGCTGTTTGGATTTAAATTGGCAAATGCTTAAAGGGATAGTTCACTTTGAAATTAATTTTTGGTATGTTTTAGCTTACCTCAAAGGCATCCAAGATGTAGGTGTCTTTGTTTCCGCAGTAGTTTCAATTTTGATATTTTTAGGTCAAACCGTTCTTGTCTGTCAGTCATATAATGCAGGTCTATGGTCACCACCTCAAAGAGCATGCACAGAGAAGTCCAAATTAAACATGATTTAATGACTCGTAAATGTAAGTACACATTGATGGCCTAAGACACGAAACGAGAGGTTTGTGTGAGAAAACGAACACTATTTATATCGTTTTTACCTCTTGTAACCACAGCCACGTCCAAGTGATCTGAGGGCGCGGGCGCTTCGGTCTGCGCAAGCGCCGGAAGTGATCTCTCGCGCGTGTACGTCACTCATTGTTTACACAGAAATTTCGGAAGTGTTACCTTTCACTGTGAAGATCTAAACATATTTAGATATACAGGAAATCGCAATGGAAGACGATTTCGATATATCAACAGACAACGTTGATTTTTTTGGGGTTTTTTTTGGAAGAGATCACTTCCGGCGCTTTCCGGCGCTTGCGCAGACCGAAGCGCCCGTGTCCTCAGATCATTTGGTTGTGGCTGTGGTTACAAGAGGTAAAAACGATATAAATACTGTTAGTTTTCTCACACAAACCGCTCGTTTCGTGTCCTAGGCCATCAATGTGTACTTACATTTACGAGTCATTAAATCATGTTTAATTTGGACTTCTCTGTGCATGCTATTTGAGGTGGTGACCATAGACCTGCATTATATAACTGACAGACAAGAACGGTTTGACCTAAAAATATCAAAATTGAAACTACTGCGGAAACAAAGACACCTACATCTTGGATGCCCTTGAGGTAAGCTAAAACATACCAAAAATTAATTTCTATGATTAGAGTCTATGATTGGATCATTATTGTGGTCATTACATGTTATATGTTTGGCAACAATTCTTTTAACCCTAATTAATGGAATGTGTTGCATTTCCTTTCTTAAACAACCATGTAGAAATTTATTTTAGGAATTAATTAATTTCCATCAAGAGGCGCTTCAATTTTTGGTCAAGATCTTGTATTGTCAATGCAAGAGTCAAGCACTCTGTAAAGTCCACTCCAGCACATCCCAAAGACTTTCAATGAATTCAAGGTCTGGACTCAGAGGTGCCGATTCATGTGTGAAAACGATTCTCCATGCTCCCTCCCACCCATTCTTTCACAATATGAGCCTGATGCATCTTGACATTGTCATCGTGTAATATGGCCATGATGTGTCTTCCTACACGGTTGTTTAAGAAATGAAAAGCTACACAATCTATCAATTAGGGTTAGAAGAACTGTTGCCATTAAATGATAAAAACATAATAATCAGTGCAATTATGATCCAATCATAGACTCTTTAGCTCTTAAATCCAAACCTTTTTTTTGGCCGGGCAGTGTATATATATCAATCAATTTAAATCAGTCATGTTCACCTGAATGTGGAGAGACATGTTTAACACGATAAAAACGAGGTTCATTAAATGGTTAATTTTTGCGCAGGTGTTTAATGCAGTGAACAGCAGTTTGTCTGCTGCTGCGGGCGAGGTGTACAGTCACCTACAGCCTCAGTTATGGGAAGCGTTAGACAAGGAGATCAGCCTTGCTGAATGTGACATATACAGGTAGATATACTGCTTTCAAAACCCATGTTCAACTTGATGATTGCTTTTGACATTTTCAGTGGTGTTTGTTTGAATAATACATCATTAAATTGTGATGCATGTTCATTCAAGTTGTGATTGGATTCTGTGACAGTTACAATCCTGACCTGGATTCAGACCCATATGGGGAAGAAGGCAACCTGTGGTCCTTCAACTACTTCTTTTATAACAAAAGACTGAAGAGGATTGTGTTCTTCACATGCCGTTCTGTCAGGTGAGGGTCTGTAGGTCAGAAGCAAATCAGCATTAATGTATGAAAAAGGTATCAGATTTTTTTTTTTTTTTGGTGAAGAAATTAATACTTTTATTCAGCAAGGACACATTAAATTGACTGTAAGACATGTATAATGTTACAAAAAATAAACTGGTAACACTTTACTTGAAGGAGTGTGCATAAGACTGACATGACACTTTCATAATCATGACATGACACGTCATGAATACGAAGGAGGTTTTATGCATGTTTATGACAACTGTCATTAAGTGTCATTTGCTCAATTATGACATTTTTAATGCAAATATGACATAGTTTGAGATGTCTTTGTTATGACAACTTGCCATAAACCAATACATCATAACTTGTTAGTGTCTTGGTAATGACAATTTAACATTACCAAGACAACATCAATTGTCATAAATATGTCATAAACATGTGGTGGTTTTGACATTGGCTGTCATGAGGCCATTATAACTGTGTCATGAATATTTTTCTTGGCCTCAACTACAGTGGTACAAATTGAATTTGTCATTAAAATGTTATAATGGCCTCATGACAGCCAATGTCAAAACCAACTACCTGACAGTTTAATGTAATGTTAACCCATAAAGCCAAGTGGTTTCTTAAGTTTGATAATTAATCTGCTATGTCATGTTTATGACTCATTTATGACAGGTTGTGTTGTCTTAGTAATGTCGAATTGTCATGACAAAGACACTGACAGGTTATGATGTGTTTGTTTATGTCAAGTTGTCATAACAAAGACATCTCAAACAATGTCATTTCATATCACATGAAAATGTCATAATTGAGCGAATGACACTTAATAACAGTTGTCATAAACATGCAAAAAACCTCCTTCATATTCATGACATGTTTCATGTGTCATGTATGTATTTTATTTAATATCTTATAAATCTCAGGCTCAGCATGTCCAACCTGAAAACATTTCAATGACCTTTGAGTTCTGTGTACTTGTCCTTTAGTCTTTTCATGGCTCCACGAGACTCTGGCATCGGCACAGAATTGGATCTGGAATTGGATGAGGGCAGCTATGAGGAAGAGGAAGAGGGGAACATGGATGAAGAGAGGTGATGAACATTATTATTTGGTATCACTTCTCCAGGAAGTACTGCATCACCAACACCCACACTCTTGCTTTATCATCATTAAGATTTGACTGCCAAATGACTGCTAATAAACTACATGGTTTCAGTGTATTTGCTAGTGAAGGGTTAAAAGCCAAAAGTTACATTGCAGTGTATCTAAAGACAATATTACTCTGATGTTACCAGCCTTTCATTTCATCAGTGACAGATTGATTGATCTGTCCTCAGGTATGGTGCACTGTGTGCCTGGTGAAGCCCTCATCCCTGTCCTCTGGAGCCTGCAATCTCTTGCCTGAGTTTTTATGCCTGTTATTCTTTTCTGTTTTTTATGTGTTCAATTTTATATTGTTGGTCATTTCTTAGGAATGGAGAGATGTTGTAATCCAGAGATTTTCAAGTGCTGGTTATTGCACTTTAACTTTTTCCTTGACTTCATTGCATTCACTAGACTTACCTCTGACACCGGCCTTTGAGGGAACCAGTGTGATGTGTGTTGGGATATTTTTACTGTCGTGTTTTTTTTTTATCTCAAATGAGGTCTTTTTTTTATTTGTCTCTGAGTGTAAGTTGAATTATGCAGGTTTTATTCTCCCTCTCTTTTCCCCCTCAACCCTGTTCAATATCTCCAGTATATTTTATGTCTCCATAAATGTCACAGTATTTTCACTAGGTGGCATATTTCAACATCTCATCATCTTTGCTTCCTGCCTCTAGTTACTCTTTACTGGCATTTTGAGCATAGTTCAGATTTAAATGTTTAAATCCAGTTTCCATATTTGTTAGGCCTACACGTGCTCATAACTCATATTTTTTTTCCATAAATGATAAAATAACTAAATATTCGTGTTTGTTTTTAGGCCTTAATACATTTTCCTGCAACTTTTTTGCCTCAGAATTTCTTTTTTTTAAACGGATAACAGCATAAACATTGCCCAGTAGATTTATTAATGTTGACCTACGGATCAACTTCCCTTTTTAGTTTCGCCCCCAAAGCTAATAAAAATGTAAAAGAAAAACCAGGATGGGTCTGTAAAATTCGAATTTTTATAAAGCTTTTTATTTGTCGTTACTGGTTTTTATTTTTGTGAGGTGTAGAACGCGAAGTGAACATAGCAGTTCCACTTTCTTCCGTGAAAACCTGCTTGTGGTGAATGAATTTACGTTGTCTGACAACACATTTGACTATAAAGGCAAAAATTCTCTTCAAATTCTTTACTGTGTTTATAGCTGTTGTCGATATAACATGATTTTGTGGAAAGATATTACGGTAGATATTATGACCTATAAGAGTGGGTGTCAGTGAACATTATTGCATCCCGTTTGACATCGTACAGCTTGATCAGTTTCATCTACTGTGGCTTGAATACTTCCTCATGATGAGCTCTGTAGTTCGTATTGTCCACTGTTATGTTGGAGGGCCTCTTGAATATCTGGCCATATGTGGTGAAGTCACAATCTTTCTGAATTCCTTTTCCATTTTAGATTTGACTGTGACCCATCCATGTTTGTAATTTCAAGCACTTTGATATATTACAGAGTTGAGCCAGTATAAGAACAGAGATGCAAGATCACTTTTGGTGTTAATTGCATACATTATTTCTACAAATGTTTTTAGAGTATAGTCCTACAAAAGTACCAGGATGAGCCCAACTGGATGCAGATTAATGCATTAACATGTCCTTCTTTTGTATAAATTTTCTTTTTAAGAGCATTTGTGTTATTTCCTAAATGCTGTGTCAAATAAATATCTACTGACTTAATGTGCACTGATTGCGATTTTTATATAAAAAAAACGTGCTGGGTTCCGAAAGTACTAATGTACAAGTCTAGGCTGAATGTCAACATGATTATTTTAGCATCATTAATCAGACCACATCTAGTAATGAATCATTAATTAGCAGCAAAGCAATACAGTATCATTTTTCATTTTATTTGTACTGGCAACAACACAATACTTGTTTGTGGGTACGTCACCCCTTGAAACAACAACAACACATGTAGTGTCCACTTCTCGCTAGTAACAAAAAGATATCTACAAAATGACAAGTACTTTACCAAGAAAAGAAAAAAAGGGTCAAAGCATTGCATGCAGGCATCACAAACGATAACGTATGTAAAGCCTTTGTTTAGCTCGACAGGCACACCTCTAAACCATTATATGGACGTTTCCTGTGGCGCATGACGTGCCCCACTTCCCTTCAGGGTCAAACCTGCTCTACAGCACAAATACATAGTTTAACAGACATTTACAAAAGAGAATCGCAGAAAACACAGAACCCTTTTGAATTCTTCACTTGAAAAGGAAACATGAGCACTTGTGCTAACCCGTTGCAGATACATGCGCTCAGAGGGAACTCAAATCTTTGGTACTTCAACAAAGTCCAAATCTAACAACATCAGCTGTTTTACTGGGAAAAAAAAGGCACTTTAAATAGTCAAATCTGTGTTTTCCACTGCAAAAATATGTAAACAGTACATAAAGGCACGAAGTGTGCATCAAGTATACCAGGAATTAAGTTAGAGGTACTTTAATTTACACAACATGGTTGTACAATGGGAAATCCATGCACTGATTAGACAATACTGATGTTAAAATTGTGTGTACGAGCCTCGTGATTTTCTGTGCTGTGAACGAACATCTGCTAGGAAAGAGTTTTTAGCAGCAGCATTTTGCACTCCGTGTGTCATTTTCTTGAAGAGATCACCACAGATGGATATTTTCAGAGGTAAGAAACTGTCACTTCTGTTTGTAAAGAAAGACTACGAGGTCAGTCTCTGGCCTGTCCCGAACACCTCAGCAGTTTCTCACTGCTGTTAACCACAGTTTACGGAATCTGTTCCATTCGATGCCCTTGAGCTCTGCATACCTTATGAGGTAAAATCTCTCTCTTCATAGAGTCCACTCCCCCTGATTGTGGGTAAACAGAATGAAGAATGCTCTTAATGGTCTCCAGTCTCATTCGGTTCAAAATCGGGGACCACCTGATCCGTCGAGTGTCTGGTGCTGGAGTGCTGGCTGAGGGATACATTGTTGTTACAGTGGAGCCACGGGTGGAGAAGTATATCTCCAGCCTCAAGCCTCTCTGAGGGAGATTTCCTCAGCATGCAGTACACCAGTGACTTGGCCCTGGGTGAAAGAGTCTCAGGGATGGTAAACGCACCCCTGCGAATTTTGCTGAACAGTGCTGTGGGTTCCACGTCCTGAAAAGGGTAACGTCCTACTAGCATGGTGTAGAGAACAACGCCAAGGCTCCATACGTCGGCAGCCTTCCCTGAGTACGAGTGCCGTGAGTTTAAGATCTCCGGGCCCACGTAGGCCGGACAGCCATGTTTGTCCGTCAGCGAATCATCGTTCCCGTTAAGAAGACAGGAGTCCTCCAGGTTTTGCAAGACAAGCTTTGTTCTGAGGAAACAAAAAAAACATCTATCAGTCACCTGATAACTAGATCCTACGTTAATGAACGGAAAATATTTGACAGATGAGCAAGATAAGGTAAAACCTATGCACAGTTTGGAACTAGTATGGATATATATATAAAAAAAATGTATATTAAAATATTATTATACATATAATTATTTTACTTTATTTTTTATTAGTAAATTTAAAAGAAATTAACATCTGTTTATTTCTGAATACTATATATTTGAAATTTAACAACTTTGTGGAATAATCTTGTAACACCTGTACACTGACAATAAAAAGTAAGAATGCACCGATATTAAGTGGATTATTTTCATGCCATGACTGATAAATAAATTACCAATATAAAAGGTCTATAATGTTCAAATAAATTTTACATTAAATAAAAATAAAAAACATTTGAAATACTACAATTGAATTTAGGCATTACATCATTATAATGTATGTAATACAGATATTAATTTTGAGATTTGCTAAAGATTACATTAAATTATTATTAAATTATTAGTAGGCTACTTATAAAATTTAGTTGGTGTCAGATGACAACAAAAGGTAATAAAAAAAGTGAAAATGAGCACCCACAATTAATTATTGGCCAGTTTAGATTGAATAATGTCCGGGGGAAAAAAAATCATATTTGCTTTTTGTCATCGAATATCATGCATCCCTACTATCAACAGCTGATATGAATTGACTAACTAGCAATTAAAAAAATTAAATTGAGTTACTGACCTCTGTGGATCGGTGAACACAAACTTGCGCAGTTTAAGGTCTCTTAAAATGACGCCATTCTCGTGACAGTGCGCCACCGCGGCTGCCATCTGTACGAACAGGCGCACTGCCTCATCCTCCTGCAGCCTCTTACAGGTGCGCACGTACGAGTGCATGTCTCCATAGTTACGCTCAAAGAATATGTACACGTTGTTCTCCCCGAGCACCAGCTCTGAAATCTTGCAGATGTTGCTGTGTGGAAGCAGACGAGTGTAGGGTGCGATGAACTCGTGGTACTTCTTTATGGAAAACACCTGGTGGGAACATACCAAAACAAAATGATTATTGATCCTTCGTTATATAAAAGTTCCAGAACTTATCTTAATATAAAATATTTCAAATCCACTATAATGAAGAATCTATGCTCACTTTGCATGTGTACTCCTGTTCTGTGACCTGATGAACAGCTCTAAATGTCTGCGCTCCTTCCGTGGCCTCCAGCAGGATGTAGGGTCCGATGCGTGAGACGTGGTGCTTCTCGGACCCCGGCTGCTCAAGGCTCTGGGACAGGGGGCGAAGACAGGGCGCGAGACCCGGGGAAGGAGGCTGGCTGAGCCTGCGGCGCTTGCATTTGAAGGTGTCAGTGTTGTGAGAGTCCTCAAAGTCAACCCGCTTCAGTCGCAGTGGAGGTGTAGGAGTTGACAGGTTCATACTCATCTGTGACAAAAACAAGTGAGTGTAAGTTCATGACCTTGTGACAGAATAACTTAACATACCATAAATGCTGATTGGATTAAGAATGCAGAGTCAATGCACAAAGGTGACATGAACAATGGATAAAATTAGTACATTTGATTATTGCACCACACTTGAACACTCAGTATAGCCTGGGATAATAACTCACTAACTAACTAAACAAGAATGGGTGGTTCAATAATGTTGTGTAATGAAAGGAGGTAATTTATATCTATTGAATGACTATGTGATGAGCAGTGTTGCTTGATCATACTGACTCAAGTTCCTTTCGAAATTCTGTTTGGCGCCTGTGAGTCATACAAGTGTTTAAGTTATTACACATTCAAGTGTACGTCATAGAATGACGTATCCCAGTTTCTTCCACTGCACTATTTTTAAACTAACTTTTCTATTCAAATACCCTGTTAGTAGAATTTTCTCGTCATAAATTATAAGATTAGCACATTGAGTAGCCTAATCATATGCGGGTACGAGGTTTCAGAACTCGATTCCGATAATGTCGAACCTAAATCTCCTGATCAAGCAGTTCTCAATAGCCTATGCGTGAACCACTGCGCCACAACTCGCAGTCCAGAAAAGTAGCCTATAAAATATTACTAACAGAATATGCTCAGTAAATAGAATGCTTTGTGCAAGTTGACAGAGTTCAAACAACAATATGCGCAGCCTGCAACACTATGTAAAGTTTAACCACCAATATGTTTCTCATTACTCGTTTAAATGGGAAAGTAGATAAATAATTGACATTAATCGTAAGGAACCTTGGTTGGAAAGTATGAAGTAGTGATTTCTAGAAGTTAAGGTGACGCTTGAAGTCTGACTTACCTCGCTGCTTTAGACAAAGGACCCGCTCCTCTCCAAAACAGAACAATGAAAACTAGGCGCACTTAGTTGTCTACTTGTCAGAGAACATTTCCA